ACACAGCAGGACCACCAGGGCAGACCTGCTTCTGTGGGTCACCAACTACTCCCAGAGCTGACTGGCTCAGTGCCTCCCTGACAGCTCTGCCAAATTTGGCTCTCCTGGACAGCCCTCTTTCACTAAGTCTTCCTTTCTCTCTTCTGTCTTCTCCACAGGGCTCACTCCTACATGGTGAGCAGTGACTCCTCCTGCTTCTTCTGGCTTCTTCTCCCATCTTTCCCCATCTGCCCCCATCTCCCCGTCCACCTTTCCCATCTCCCCCTCCATCTTCCCCATCTATTCTCATTTCCCTACCATCTCTCCTCACCATCTTCCCCCCAGCCTCCCCCACCATCTTCTCCTATCTCCCCACCATCTTCCCACCATCTCTCCACCATCTCCTCAGCATCTTCCTACCATATTCCCCCACCATCTTCCCCCAATCCCCCACCATCTCCTCCCATCGCCCCATAATATTCCCCCATATTTCCCAACCTGGCGTGTGTTTCTTGGAAGACCAAAACAACACAAAGATCTTGAAGAATGAGCAGACTTCTGTCTTGTCATTGCAACTGCCTTTGCAAACGCATAGGCAGTTCATACTGCGTAGTCACCCTGAACCAGTGGTCTTTTCTGGGGTCTTGGTTGGCATCTTAGCTCCTTCGTTTTTCTCAAGGTGGGTGTCATGTTTGTTGGCCCACCCAAGATCCATATGCTGAAGTCCTAAAACCCTCCCAGTGACTGTGTTACTTCTAAGTAAGTAATTAAGGCTAAGTGAAGTCATATATAGGGCATCAATTTGATAGGATTTGCTGGTCCCTTTGTTAGCAGCCAGCTGTCTGGGTCCTTCTGCTTCACCCAGACAGAAGTTGTGGGTAGGTGAGGAGGAACTCTCACATTTGCTAGGGGTCGCTGAGGGGTATTTGCAGGCAGAGGGGTGGACGACAGTGGGAGGCAGTCAGCCCTGGGCCTTTAACAGCCAGGGCTACGGATGCACCTTGGGGTTTGGGCCAAGAGCCCTGACAACGAGGGTAGTGGGATGGAGTTTGGAGGGAGTCCCTGAGGGTTTCAGCTCAGATTTTTGGGGCAGTACCGGGGTTTGAGCTCAGGGCTTCCTGCTGCTCTCCTGCTTGAACCACACCTCTAGCCCAGTGGTGCAGCTCTTGTGCCCAGGGCAGGGACCTCCCTCTGGAGGGGTCTCTCACTGCCTTCTTCTCTTGCTGTTACCAGCTCAGCAAAGAGAAAACATCTTTATTGGGGCCTAGCATTGCAACACCAAAAAGGGAGCAGGAACCACGCCCACCTCCTCACAAAACGCGTTGAGGAGCTATTTATACAGCCACAAGAAGGGGGGGCGTGACAAGGGTCTCGTCTGCGCCAATCACAGCAGGGCTCTCGTGCAAATGAAGGAGGAGGTTTGCACCAATCACAGGTCTTCTATTGAGTCACGCGCTCCCCCGCTGGGCGGTGGAACCGGCTGTTGCCTAGGCGAAGTCTGGTCCCAGCCGCTTGCTGGGCAGTGCGCTCTGGAGCTGCAGTGGGCTTTGGGTGTTGGCCTGAGAGCAGTGCAGCTGCCTGGTTGGCAGGCCTTTGCCCACAGCAGACAGGGCCCTGGAGGAAGGGTCTGTCAGGTGCCAATTAGGGAATTCAGTCTTTTCAGACCCAACATCTCCGCACATTTAAAGGAAAAATAAACATTCAAAAGGGTGTGTACAGCTGAGCACCAGTGGCTCACGCCTGTGATCCCAGCTACTCAGGAGGCAGAGATCAAGAGGATCACGGTTCAAAGCCGGCCTGGGCAAACAGTGCATGAGACCCTAACTCAAAAAACCCATCACAAAAAAAAAAAAAAAGAGCTGGTGGAGTGGCTAAGATGTAAACCCTGAGTTCAAACCCCAGTACCGCAAAAACAAAAAAAAAGGTTTACAACAAAGGCCTATCAATAACAGTGCTTTAACCACAACAAAAACAAACAAACAAAAGGGCTGGGGCATAGCTCAGAAAGCAGGACACTTTTCCTGGCATGCAGATTGGTCAGCGGTTCAATCCCCAGTAATGGAGGGAAAAAATGATCCAGTCCTAAAAAACATAAAACACGAGGTCAGTTGTCCAGAAGAAAATTAAAATACTGAAGTCTATCTATAATGGTCCTGTGAAATAAGCGGGGAGGTACTGACTGTTAGTTTATTTTATGGGTTCACCCCAACTAGACACAGGAAAGGGCGAGAGTGCAGAGTGGCCCAGCATCTCCAGACTTACAAACGGGAAACCAGACACTGCTCTTTGTAGGCACGTGGACCAAAGGGACCGACATTCCTGATTCTTTTCAAAGGGAATGAAGCACAGTTCTCAACAAGCAGGTGTTTGACAGCATAGTTCCTTACGAGGTTACTGAGACTCCCTAGTAGACCAAGAAGGCCACTTCACAATTTTGTCTAAACACAAACAGAACTAAGTTCTCTGGGCCACCCCAAGTAGCCCACTGTGGTACTGCCCAGCTTTCTGACAAAACCCAGCTTGCTTAGCTTGTCCCCCAACCGTCTGAATAAAGTCTAGACCCTGTGACAAGATCTTGCAAGCATCCTCCCACTCGCCCTGCACAGCAGGCAGTAAAGCCACATTACCTCAGTGCTCTTGGGCTCCTGCTGGTCTTAGATGAACCGCAGTTAGCCACAGGCAGCTCTGCACACTCCTGAATACCCACAAACAGCTCGGGATGAGGACCGTTATGCCCAGTGTCCACTAGAGACACCGAGGCCAAAACAGGTCAAGTGATTTGGGGAAATCATGCCAAAGAGTAACCATGACGGCAAAAGGGAAAAGCTTCTGCTATAGCCAGCTTGCACGCTGGTCAGCTCCCTCTACCAGTTAATCAAGCTGCATCTTTCCCCCTTTTTGTCCACATGCTGGAAGAGTCCAAGGTCAACTCCCTTTGCCCTCCAATTAAACCAGCAGTCTTCTACGCTTATGTGTCTCTGACCACCAGAGAGAGTAAACCTGTCCACCGAGACACACAACCTCAGAGATGTGACACCTGGAGAATCAAGGTCAGCACCCACTCTGGGACATGCACTTCCTGATGTGGTCAAGCTGAGCCCTGACCTCCCCTTTAAAGAGCGGACATTTTCTCTCAGAAGGGGACAACAGAACTTTAAGAAGCTGACACTCCCTGTCCTCCTCTTCCTCTGATGAATAATAGACCTCGTTTCCTTTTCCTCGAAACCCTGTTCTTTGTGAACTGGCATTGAGGCTGGGCCTGCATTCCAGGTAACCATAGGGCTTCCAGAACGGACCCCCGTCACCTAAGGTAGGGGTCTGTCAGCCGGTATCTGCTATATTCTCCTAGCGGAATAGACTATTTTACGAAAACCTTAAGTTCTCTGAACTAAAAACAAACCCCAAGAAGGAAGGTGGTGTCCATGTGCCTCCGCCTGGCCTTTCCACCTCCAGGGCGGGACAAGCAGCACTGGACCTGGAGCAAGCGCGACATTCCTCCTGCGCAAAATGTAAGGGACACCAGACAGCTGCTGACCAAGCAGTTGATACTGACGGCAGTAGTTAAAAATCAAATGGGGGGGAGGGGCCACTGGGTGTCTCAAGTGGTAGATCGCCTGCCTAGCGAGCCGCAGGCCCTCAGTTCAAACCCCAGTACCACCAAACAAATAAATTTTAAAAAATAAAAATCAAGTTGGCAAGCTACAGCCCAAAGGTTTTGCAAATAGGGTTTTATCGCAAGAGGCATCTGTCTACCCAGAAACCAAATCCCACAGAATCCGCAATACCACCGAAGGGCCTTAGGGGAGCCCATCACCTGAAGCCCGTTCTTGCACCACACTGAAAACTCCAGGGGTCTCGGAGACCCCACCCCCCCCGCTACAGGGGTGCGGCGCCTTTAAGTCCGCAAGGCGCCGGGCCGCGGCTGTTGCCCCGGGAGACGGACGCGCAAGAGCGCGGCGCGGCGAGGGCGGACGGTGGCCATGGCACACTTGCGCCCGGGCCGCAGCTCGGGGAAGCCGGGGGAGGGCGAGGAGGGCCGGAAGGAGTCGGAGGCGGGGTGGGAGGAGCAGGTGCACGAGGAGGAAGTGAGGGAGGGACAGGCGGAGGGGGGTTGGGAGCAGGTGCGGGAGAAGCAGGTGCGAGGGGACCGGGTGCAAAAGGAGCAGGTGCGGGAGGTCGTGCAGGGGGCGAAGGAGAAGGAAGACCAGGAGGAGGGGAAGCAGGTCTCCGGGCTGTTCGTGGATGACGACCTCTGGAAGGCCGTGGACATCGATGATGACGAGGACCAGGACGACCTGGCCCAGCCCCGTCTCCGCTTGGTCAGCGTGGTCAGCCCCAGTGTGAGCTCCCTGCTGGCGTGCAGCCAGACGTCCAGCCAGTCGAGCCAAACGTGGAGCCCCACGTGGAGCGAGCCGAGGAGCCCGAGCGAGAGCCCCGGCTCCAGCACCTGCTCGCACAAAAGTACGCGGGCCGTGGGTGGCACCTGTCACCAGCCTGGCGCTGTGGTCACAGGCCTCGGCCTTGGCCGAGCGGGCACCTCCTTCCTGATGCGGGACACTGGGGGTCCCTGCGTGAAGGCGAACCGCGCCTGGGCAGCCTGGGCAGGAGGAGGCTGCAAGGGTGTGAGCTGTGAACCGGTCCTACCAAAAGCAAACGATAAAAGGCCCTCCTCCGTGCTTCAGGTCCTGGGCTCCTTCCTCCTGCCCCGGTCACTTCTTTATAAAGCCTGGCCCAGCTGTCATTTTCTAACGGTCCTTGCAGACCAGGTTTCTTAAGTCTGCAAACTTGACCTGGAGGTCTGGATATGGGAAAGGAGGCTGTCCTATGCATTATAGACTTTCAGCAGCATTCCGGGCCTCTACCCCTGGCTATCACACACACACACCCTTGTGACAACCAAAAACGTCTCCAGACACTGCCAGATGGCCCCCTGGAGGGCAATGGTTTTGACCACACTGATTTAGAGTTAATGTTTAAATTTGTAAATGTTTTGCTCAACAGGTTTTCCTAAAATATTTCATACATTTAGGAAAGACATGTCTGAAGTGGAGTTAGATAGGTAAGATGTTTTCAGTTTTCACGTTATTTTTTGAAGTAGATAATACTTACCTTGCAACTTGACGTGTGAGGAAATAAAATAATCTAGGCATTGACAACTTATTTATTCAAAAGCTTTTAAAAAAAAAATCTATACTGGAGCTGGAGGTATTCATGTCTGTAATCCAGCTACTCAGAAGGCTGAGATTGGGAAGATCATGGTTCGAGGTCAGCGTGGGCAAAACGTTAGTGGAATCCCATCTGAAAAATGAGCCTGATGTGGTGAGACACAGCTGTAATCCCAGCTACCAGAGAGGCGTAGTTAGGTCGATCACAGTCTGAGGCAGCCTCAGGCAAAAACCAGACCATTTCTGAAAAATACCTAAAGCAAAAAGGGCTGGAGGTATGACTCAAGTGATAGAGCACCTGTCTAGCAAGCACAAGATCCCGTATCCAAACCCCAGGATTTATTTAAAATCAGCATCAGGGCACACGTTAGAAGAGATAAAGACAAAGTTCCTATATTTGCTCAACTTCTTACCTAGCTCCCAAGGGGATGCGTTCACTTACCAGTGCAGCACTGAGCAAGTGTATGACTGAACCACAGTCAGTACTGTGAAACTTAGAACGTCGGTCTCTGTTGGTGACATGAAAGAGTGGCCAGGGACACTTGAGGGAAAGTGGAAGTTATGCCTTTGTTGTCTCTCTCTCCTTTTCCTTGTGATTAGCCTAAAAGTACTTTATAAAACCATAGCAAATAACTTTGAGACTTCTTGATAAAACCTCCTTGAAATATCACACAAGCCTCAGTTCATACTGCACACCTGTGCTTTTTGGTTGCTTGTGGAGAGTTTGTTGTTGTTGTTTTGTCATTGTGTTGTTTTGTTTTGTTTTTGCTTTGGGGACAGGGTCTTGCTATATAACCCAGGCTGGCCTCTAACTCACCATGTAGCTTAGGCTGGCCTCAAACTGGCAATCCTCCTGCCTCAGCCTCCTGAGTGCTGGGATTAGAGGCCTGCACTGCCACACCTGACTAAACTTTGCTTTTATAAGCAACTTTTAAACTCTTAAGTGTAAAAGGAATTATTCTGTCTTACTTGTCTGGTTTCATTTATCCTTTTAATTCAAGTTTTTAATAAAAAGATGTGCATGGTTAAACAGAGTCTAAAAAGATAGGAACTTGAAAACACCCATGCCCTCCACCCCCACCCCCACTTCCAGAGTTAACACCATGGTAACAGTTTCTCTTTTCTTTCCTTTATCATTTTAAGTGACATTTTCCTTCCTCGACTTACCAATTTCTGACAGACCTATTGACGTCCTGCCTCTACATTTTAGAAGTCATATTATTTTTAGATTTTCAGCAGTGAGGACTTTAAAGTGTGTAAGCTTCTATTTCTTGATTTATCGTTTCAGTGAGTATTGACTGTATCATGAAAAATGAACACATTTTAATGTTCTTCTGGTTATTTCCCTCACCCCCCTCTCCTCTTTTCTTCTAATTTACAAACTATATTAAAATATGTATTCATAGACTGGAGTGGCTCAAGTGGTAGAGCACCTGCCAAGCAAGCGTGAGGTCCTGAGTTCAAACCCTAGTGCTGCCAAAAAGATAAAATATATATTCATATGAAATTATGTTACTTTGTAAAGTTTGGTTACATTTGTGTCATGTTTTGTTAATTACAATTAACCCTTAGTGCTGTAGGTATGGGTTGATTCAGAAAATTGAAAACCAGTAACTAATACTCCTAATTTCACGTGGGAAACCCATAATGTGATCATGTCCATGGGTAAGAACGACTGATCTTATGTCTGAAAAACTCTCTCCTGAAATATGAAATATTCAGCTCAGTCTCTTCATTTTTTCTGAGATAGCTCTATGGCCACTTTTCTCGATTTCCATTTTACTTTCCTTCCTTCTTTCTTTCTATTCCTTTCAATTTGCTTGAGAGATTCCTCAGGTGATGTGCTCAGGTAGCTCTCATGGGCTCAAATTTCCAAGTTCATGCCTCCTGGAAATAGCTTCATTTTGCCTTCAGACCTTATTAAAATGACAGAGCCTAGCTCAAAGCCCCTCTGGGATTCCTTCTCCTTCGTTTCATTAGCATAGGTTACTGGTAAATAGGGTTTCATCGTGATAGTCCTATATGTGCTTGTAATGTACACTGATTAAGTTCAGCTCTTTTTCTCCCCCTCCCCCTCTTAAACAATTTTAATGGGGTTTCATCATCTCTTTTCATGCATGTGTGCAAAGTGCTTTGATCTTCCTCCCTCCCTCATCTCTCCTTTCACCCTCCTCCTGCTGCCTTCCACCCCAAGCGGTCCCTGTTGTGCACTCCTGTCATTTTTTAGGTCTAGATCCCCCTATGAATATGCCCTTCCCTGCTTTGTCTCTCTTCTTCCCATCAGAACTCCTTCTGGAGGCTGTCGAACCTCTTAGATTCTCTAGTCTTTCATCTTCTTCTTCATATTGTCATCTACCACACAGTCCTTGTACAGAATTCTTTATTTTGGGGTTCATATTTGTAATTTCAAGAACCAGACTGTTCTCTGGTTATGGCTATTCAAAATAGTTTATTGTTAGTGCTTTTTAGTCTCTTTAAGGGCACCATTTTAATGAAATAATGTCTGACATGTTACGTATCTAATATAGCAGCATATTTAAACATTATACTAAGGTTCTCCTGTTTTCTTTATCTTCCTTCTTTTCTATTTCAGAGCCCCTGTTCTATTTCTCTTGCTATTTAGTTCTCTTCTGGCTGTGGATTGTTCTTATGTAGCTGGTAATCCTTGTTGTCCCTTCACACATATAAACAGACGACAGGTAGTTGTGTTTGTCAGAGGGAGGTTTCCAGGAGCCCTGTGCAGGTGGGGGAGCCTAGCCGAGCTGGCTTTCTGTGGGGTGCCTGGGCAGGAAGCAGCCAAGCTGGGTGACCCACACTACTAGAGTCAGGACAAGGGGCTTGTACTTCTGCTGCAGCTCCTGTTGGGGAAAGTCCCTTGCCTCTTGCTCCAGCCTGCTGGGCAGGTCCTGCTCTGCCTCTCACTCAGGCAGGCTGCCACCTGCCCTGTGGGAAGGGTGAGCAAGGTCCTAGCTGGCCCAGCTGGCCCAAGTCATTCCTTGAGCGAGTCTCATGACAGCCCTCCTTGTCTGTGTTGGGCTGGGTAGACCTAGAGCTTCTCAGGACTTCCCTTTGGGAAAAGCCTTACTTCTGTCTTGAGCTGTGTCTTCTCTGCTCCAGCATTCAAGCAACCATAACCATTTCTTTCTTTCTTTCAAGGACTTCAACACCACTTGTCTACCAGCCATGCCAGTTTTCTAGGGCTGATTGCTTGCTTGTTTGTTTTATTTGTTTTACTGTTATTTCAGTAAAGTTGGAAAAAGAAGAGAAGAGAAGTAGAAGGAAAGGGAAGGGAAGAGATGTGGAAGGAAAGGGAAGGGAGGGGAAAGGAAAGGAAGGGGAGAGAGGTGGAAGGAAAGGGAAGGGAAGAGAAGTGGAGGGGAAGGGAAGGGAAGGGAAGAGAAGGGGAGGGGAGGAGAAGGAAAGGGAGGGGAAGAGAAGGGAAGGGGAGAGAAAGGGGAAGGAGAGAATCATGTACTCACTTGTCATCTTGACCTAAGATTCCTACTTATAATTTCAAGTCCATGGAGCCTCTCTTTCACAGAGCAGGTTCTTAATTTATCCTCATAAATCTTCCTAAGAAGTTACTTTTTAAAAATATACATACACTTCAAAGTATTCCTTGGTGAATTTGGTGAGATTATGAATGTATTTAAAAGGATATGTCCTAAAAATGCAACTAATGTCAGCTTACCTTCTAACTGTCTCATCACAACTGTGTTGAATTAGAGCTAACTTTGGGAGGTGGATGACGGGGGAAGCCCAGGCTCTGGAGTCAGACAGAATTCCCCCAACCCCCCGGCCGTCCCATTATTGGTAATATCGATGAACCTAGTTGCTTTGTCTTCAAAAAGGAAATGCCAATGTTGGCTTCGCTTGGCTTTTGTAAAGTAGAGAAGAGCTGTAAGGTGACAGGCAGTACTACAAGTAAGTTCTCAGAAATGTTAACTTTGTGACCATTCTGCATCTCTGTCTTCCATCTTTGCACAGAATTCTGAAACAATCTCTGTTGGTGGTATAAGGAGGACAAAGAGGCATAAATGAATAATGCATTGATTTTTGTTAACTGTTGAATTGTGGGGAAAACACATTAAATATTATCTGGGGATTTTTCTTTCATGTGGCTTCACGCATAGTCCCTGTGGCTTGTTTCCCTGGGAGGTTGATCAACAGGACTCCCTCAGAGAGTTGCACAGGTGGCCTCCGCCAGCGAGTCTGTGCCTATTACAGGGCACAGTCATTTCAGAATCCACAATAAAAAACACTTCACTGATGCAATGTGCCAAGCAACAAAGCATCAAAAGGGAGGTGGAGTCAGGAGGAGAAAGCAACAAGGCTAGAAATTATCAAAGTGCTTGAGAAAGTAATTTGGTGATTTTAGAAAATATGCCAAACTAACTTTAAGAGTTGAAATGCAAAGAGACAAATGAGCTTGGAAAGCAGCATTGTTGACTTGCTACAGCAAGAGTTATTTTAACTAGTAAGACTCAATACATTCCTGACTTCAATAACTCAAATAAATGATTAAGCTACTTGAAGAAAGGACAGCTCAATTACAATGCATTTAACTTAATATCAGCCCTTGAAAAAGTTTTGATTACTTGGAAGCTGTTGAAAATGAACAATCTGTGGTCATTTAAATTGCAGTAAATGTTTAAGTGTTCACACCACTACCACCAACAATGACAAGCCACCCTTGCACAGACACCACGCTGGGGAACCCTTGGGGTGGAGTGGACAATATGGGATTAGCAGCCTGCAGGGTTCAGAAAAGAAAACTTTTCAAAGAACAGACTTGATGCACCCACAGCATGTAACTGCATTGAAGAGGTAGACATGGGAGAAAACACTTCAAAGAAAGCAGAATGGGGGTCTTCTGTGCATTTGCTATGTGAGTATTAAATGTGCTGGGTTTAGTAGACTTGTTAGTGACCATATACGTATTTTTGTGACTAACGCTGGATCTAAATTTCAGGAATATCTATCAGAGTCTGTATCCAGGAATTCCAATATCGGTTCAAACAGAAGATAGTTGGCTTCAAGACACTTCTGGTAGAAAGTCCCCAAGTGAGTAGGTTGAATTTTAGGGTGTGTGGGGGATGGGGGACATGTTGAAATCTTACAGGTGAGGAAGCTGGTAGAGCTGACCATGAAGGCCAGCTATGGCAAAAAAACGGGCCACTGCAGTGCTGGGCAAGTCACGTCACCTCAACGAGTCTAGGTTTCTTCATCTCTCAACTAGAATAATACTGTCACAGGGTTGTTAGGACCAAATATTTAAGGACTGGGGTGTGGCTCAAGTGGTAGAGCACCTGTCTAGCAAGTAGCCCAGTACGGCCCCCTCCCCCCCAAAAATCATAAAGATTAAATATGTAAATTCCTTGGCACTTAGAAGTCAATAAATGTGTGCATTTAGGTTTACCGAGAAAGCATCTGCTCTTGTATTCTGAGACATATCTTTATTTTTTTCTTATAGAGGTCACAAATGCATAGTTTTAAATTCTCAAACCATTAAGAAACGATGTAAAGCTAAAATTTAATTATCCCAGTATCCAGTAGGAGAAGCCCATGAGAACTTGACACGAGCACTGCTTGTCAAATAACCCACAGGCTGGGATGGGCACAGCCCCCGGCAGCAGAAGGGAGCGAGAGCAAGAAGGATGTTTGCACCACGTGCTTCAGGCAGGAACAGTACCGAATGCGCAGAGAGTCGTGATCTGATTGCAGGTTCCCCTGTCCCCATTAACTGCGGTGTCGCCCCCAGAACTGTTGCAGTGCTTCCTTGTTTGCCGCTGTATATGATAAACTCACTGGAGGTGGTGGAGGCTGTTGTGTGTCTCCCTCCACCAGGGTGCCAGCCCACCTGACGCCAGCTTTTTGCATGTTTGTCTTTTGTCCTTTCTCAGTCTCTCATCACTCCCAGTTAGGTTCAGTACAGTTCTTTCTTTCTTCCCTTCTCTCTTTCTGTTTGTGGTACTGGGCTTTGAACTCCGGACCTCGCAATGCTAGCCACTCCGCTGACCCTGCAGACTAATTCCTCAGACGTGATCACCAAATGGCTTCCTTTCGAGCTCTACATTTCGCCTCATTTCATCAAATGTTTACTGTGCTGAGCACCAACCACAGGCCAAGCTCTCTCCTGGGAACCAACAGTGAACGAAGCAATCTAACAAAGATCCCAAAGATCGTCTGTCAAAGTGTGGGAGGTGGAGGAGTTCTAAGCACATAATCCACAAAATAAGAACTGAAGAAGATCAAGGTAGAGAGGGGATGGAAGGTGTCAGGGCGGAGGGACCGCGGGCTCACACGGGGAGCTCAGCCATGTCCTCACTGCGAAATGGAGATGTTGGGGGGATGGTTTTCCAGGCAAAGGAACTGCCAGCACCCCCTTCTAGAGCAAGGACACCTGTGTGGCACAGTGGGGAGGTGCTGTCAAAGATAACGAACACCTGATCTTTTCCACTGGGAGTGAAGTGGGAAGTCCCTGGAGGACTTGCACAGAGGCGACACACGCTAACTCTCACTGCGATGACTACAGAGCAATGACGGTGAGGAGGCGAGAACCACTGGCCCAGCCCTGGAGCCTCCACTGTGAAGCTGGGAACCTGGGAAGAAAGTGAGAAAAGACACCCGATGACGTAGAAGAAAAACCAGAAAACTGTACTAGACAAGAAGAATGTGTCTCGAGGAGGAGGGAAGGTCCCCTGAGTCAAACGCCGCTGAGAGGTCGATGAGTCGAAGACTGAGAACTTACAACAGTACATGTCATGGTCACAGCTGGTGTCCAGAGGATCCCCTTCGGTGTCGCTGTGAGGGTCAAAACCTGACCGGAGTGGACTCGAGGGGGAGAGGACTGAACTAAGTGTGCCACAGAGAATCACGCCACATCCCCACCTCACTGCTAAGCTTTCAGTGGGACACTGGTGTGACCCATGCAGACATAGTCTCATTTTTTAAAAGTCCAAAATACAAATAAATCAATAGCTTGTTTGACCATTATCCCCAATTTCAGAGGTCACCACTCATGTGGTGCTGGCGTGTGTCTTTCCAAATATTTTTCTAAGCTTTTACATTGATATAGAAGTTTAGTCATTAGGTTGGCGCTTTTGTTTTGATGGTGTTTAGGTGAATAGTACCCCTCTGAATACGTTGTCTTGAAACCAGAGTTTTGGACCCCAGGCTCAAACTCCTGGGCTTCCACGTGTCAGGTGCAGCCATTTGCCCCTCTACACTAAATAAAGAGGCGTGGTGGAGGTGAAGATTTATTACACAGCTCAAAACACACAGTGGGAAGAGGCAAAGTCAGCACTCAACCCGTATTTAGGGTACAGACATGAGCTTGGCTTTAAACAGACAAAGAATTAGGGCAGGGGACAAAAGGTATGCATAGTTACACAGTCCCAATCACAGGTGTGTTTCAGTGGGTCACTGTCTTGGTCCTGGTTTTGGGACATCTTCCCCAGAAGTTGTCTTGTCCTAGAGATTCTGAGGTCCCCTTTCTTTGGGGCAGTTCCCTTCACCCCTCCTGCTAAATATGGATAAGTTCCGTCCTTCCTGAATTCCAAGGTGAATGGCTTAGACAAAGACACATGCAAAAGTGAGGCAGGGATGCCAAGCTTTTCTGCTGCGTTTAGTTAATTCTGGGCCCACGTAAGGAGTCAGTGCTTTTCAGTGAAAGCAGTTTGAGCACCTGGTACAGTCTCACCTGCTTTTTACCTTAGCAATGCCTTGGAAACTGTACAGGATCAGTAAATGCAGCTGTTCTCGTTCTTTTACTTCAGCATAACTCCATGTGGGATTACTTGCATGCAGCACCAATAGCGTGCAGAATTACTGCAGCATGCACCACGCCTATCAACTCACTCCCGTCTGAGTTAGACGACTTCTAGTTGAGTCTTTGGACTTAGATGTTAGACCTGATGCTGGAGCAAGTTAAGGGAGTACTGCAGGGGAGTGAGTGCATTTTGCATGTGAGGAGGATGTGAGTCTCAGGGGTCCCGGGAAGAATGCTGTAGTCAGATTGTGTGCCCTCAAAACGCCTGTGTTGAAACCTAATCACCCACAGGGTCCTATTGGAGGTGGAGCCTTTGGGGGTTAATCACGAGGGTCTGCCCTGGTGAGAGGGATTGGAGCTCTTGAGAGAGGCCCAGGCAGCTGCCTTGCCTCCTCCACTTTGAGAGAACACAGCTGGAAGGCAGCATCTGTGAACCCTCGCCAAACACCACGTCTGCCAGCACCTTAATCTTGGATTTCCCAGCCTCCAGAATGTGAAAAATACATTTCTGCTTTACGGTGTTTTCTACAGCGGCCAAAAGGGACTGGGACAGCCGTGCCACGTCTGGAAGGACTGGCTTGATTCTTTGAAACAACTATATGCATCCCTTGTGTGGACTTTGTTTTTACTTTATGTGATGGATTGAGACTGGCGTTTTGTTGTTTGCTTGTTGAGTGCCCCTCTTTAGCAAATAATACTGTAATGAAAAGCTCTGGGCATTATTTTTTTGTACACCTGTGTTGACATTTCTGTTGGACAAAATGTCTTAAAACGTATGTGACATTTTTTCAGATACTCCACTGCCCCGCCCCCATACACCGTGTTCTTCATGAAGCCTGTTCCCCTCCTGGATCACCTGCTGTCTCACCTCTCCTTCCTTTGCCCGTGACCCACTGTGGGCTCTGTTTCCCTCTCATTCCAATCTTGACTGCTTTAACTCTTCTAGACCTCTGCTGAAGTTTGCTGGTACTCTCAAGGCTGTCTTCACCGTTTCTGGCCCCGCTCTGTAGCCTACAGAAGGAGTGACCCTGGTGGTCTTGAACTAGAACCCCTCCCCCAGCTTGGTGACAGCCACGAAGCAGGAAGAGGAAGCCTAAACGCAGACGAAACCAAGAGGCTATGCAGAGATGATTACAAAAAACTCTGGGGCTAGAAAGGAACAGGGAAATATTTTCAAATGTGAGACATGGTTGGGGGGTAAGGAAAGTTTTCGGAAAAGGCAGAAAAAAATAGATAAAACACACACAGTAAAGGCACGGATTTTTCCAAGAGATGCAATTTCTCTTCTATGTAGCTCATTTCCACTTTGTCATGATTGGTGACAAACGTGCACTCTTTTTTAAAGGAAAGAAAACAGTCTTTGCTGTGCAGGAAGAAGTGCCTGAGCACCTGGCTTCTAAGTTAAGAGGTAAGTGAGCTGTGTCATCTGCTTTCTTTGCAAAGGCAAATTGCCAAGAGCCAACCCTGCCTTGCACTGTGCTCACCTTCAGAAAAGCAGGAAGGTGGTGAAAAAGAAGGGGTTCTGGATGTTTAAAGAGAGAGAGAGAGAGAAAAGATGGGCGAGGAGAATGGGGTGGGAAAGAATCTCCAAACTTGCCTTGTGGCTCACACCTGTAATCCCAGCTACTCAGAAGGCAGAGATCAGGAGGACAGCGGTTTGAAGCCAGCCCAGGCAAGTAATTCACAAGACCCTATTTCAAAAATACCCAACACAAAAAGTGGCTCAAGTGGTAGAGTGCCTGCCTAGCAAGCGAGAGGCCTGGGTTCAAACCCCAGTGCTGCCAAAAATAAAAATAAAGAGAAGAAAAAAGAAGAATCCCCAAAGTAGACAAATTAGGTTTTAAACTTTCCTTCTAAATCTATCCTTTCTCCTCAGAAAAATGGGTAATAAATCCAGAAGAGCTAAAACTAAGTATTTTATGTGAGTTTGAGGTAAGAAACGTTTACCATACCAATTAGTACCCTGTTCTCGTGGTAGAAATGGCTTCTCCCACCTTCAGCTCTCCTCTCTCTCTCCTGAAATGTAGTTTAAGGAAGACTTTATAACACTCTTCGAGTCCCCCCTGAGAACGCTGCCCAGCATTGGGCCACCGTCCATTCTGTCCTACAGACAGGAGCGTCCCAACTTGGACGTCCACTTCCAGGTGACTGTAATTCATGTCTCTTCTCGTTGCTGCAGCCAGGACATAAGGGGATGATGATTTGCACAGTGAGCAAACTCTTTTTAGAAAGCAAAAGGGCAGCGCTTACCGTAGCAAATGCCACAGGCCGGAAGGCTTGAAACAAAAGAAGGTTTTGCCTCGAGGTCCTGGGGGCTGGACCCCAGGGGACAGGGTATCCTCCTTTCTGCCAGCCTTGGGTGTGGGGCAATTGTGGCATCTCTTGCCTGGCAGCTACACCCCTCCACTCCCTTCCTCAGTTTCCACTGTGTTCTCTCAGTCCCTGGGTCCAAAGGTCCTTCTCTTCTGAGGACACCTGGCATACCTGATTAGGGCCACTCCAACGACCTCACCGTCACTTGATTTGCCTCCACAAAGACCAAGTAAGGTCCCATTCACAGGTCCCTGGGTTAGGACTTGAACACGTCTTTTAGGAGGACACAGTGGACATCTGCCATGTTTGATAGTGTTAAGTAACCACCTTGATGGGTGGGATGAAGTCACCTGAGCATCTCCAAGAGGATCGGGCCACGGGAGTGACCGACAGACCGCGTACTCCCTGATCTGAATCCCCTAATGACTTCTGGGGTATACTAAAGGACAGCATGACTGACTGACCAGGAGAGACACCGGTTCTGCCGGGCAGTGTCTCACAGAGGCTCACCGGGGGTGGATGGAAATCCCGTGTGGACACACCGAGTGGTGCTCACTGTCATGGTGCGTGGCACCCTGACACATCCACGAGCCATGGCATGTCATGCCAGCCACCTCTCACTGAGGTTTCTAAACTTAACAGATCCTCGAGACTCTTCAGGCTGAATTCTTTTACCTAAACACAGCACCTCCCTTTTTCTTATTATATCCAGAGAAGTCTCTGGCACTGGGGTTACTCTCTTTTTCCGTGATGCCCAGTGGTGGTCATGTACCTGATGAAAGCCTGGTGGCCTCTCCTCTGGGATATGTCCCCACACTGGCACCTGTACAGGGCCAGCTGCTCCTGCTCCCCAGGCTGACCTGTGGGCCCAGCATTGGCAGTCCAATGGCACAGTGAGAGGGATGAGAGGGACAGCTGGCTTGCCCAGCTCATCTCTCCACCGCTTCCTCTGCAGGGTCTTCTGAAGCAGCTGTACCTTGCTTCTCCCCCAGGGGAAGGGGGGAAGGGATCACAGGCTGAGGTCTTTACCATGGAGCCCCTGTATGGAGTAGGCTGTAGATGACCTGGCATTACCACACTGTCACTTAACAGCTGTCCTCAGGTGTTCACCATCATCTCTCCACGAGAAGACCTTGCCGTCCATGTGTTCTGCTTCAGCAGAGCGAGAGCTTGCTATGGGGTACTTTCAGAGGCCTAGACGCAGGGTGCCACTCTGGGGTGGTGAGCCCCGAGCTGCACTGGCCATGTCAGTCACCCTTAGCCCAATGTTGGGTGATTTCACCGGTCTCTCAGGACAGTTCGATGACAAATAGCAACCCAGGTGGTTTCGAGATGCAAATCATTGATCTGAGCCTTTTCTGGAGGGTGGGACTAAGGCTCAACTGCTTTGCTGCCAGAACCTCTGCCATCACAGACATTGACACAGTCACTGTGGCTCAACCCTCCCGAGTCACCTGCCCTAGCTCCATCTGTCTGGTCTGCCTCCCCGCCCCTTTCTCTTGCCCTCCTGAATTATCCTCACAGCACAGGTAGGATTCAGACCTCCAACCCTGGGCTCCCTTGAGGGAATGAAGTTATCATACGTGGTGGCCCACATTGTCACGCCAAGGCTGCTCCTTACCTACCACTTTCTGAAAGAGTGAATGGTTTTCAAACATCTGAGACCATTTGCATAAAATCCCGTGTCAGTGTTAGCCTTCTCTCTCTCCCTCTCTCTGGCAGTACTGGGATTTGAACTCAGGGCTGCACACTTGCCATGCAGGCACTCACTCCACTGCTTGAGCCACACTCCCAGACCTTTCTTGCTTTAGCTCGTTTTTCAGATAGGGTCTTGTGTTTTGCCTGGACTGGCCTCAGACTTGATCCTCCTACCTCTGCTTCCTGCATAGCTGGGATTATAGGTGGAAGCCACTACACCTGGCCCAGCCTTGTCTCTTGCATGTAGTTACACACTGTACCTCCCTGTCCCCCACAAGGGTCTCCTTGGTCAGTAGTCATTGCTGCAGCTTTCTTCCCGAGGTGGGGCCTCCTGAGGGGCTTGGCTCTGCTCTGGTGACTTTGCCAGACAGGGTCCTTCCAATGCCACCTTGGGCTCCTCAGTCCTCCCCAGCCCTGGAATAGAAGTGATATGAAATCCTGGACTATTGCAGATCTTCCTGGCCTGGTACAGGATCTCAGCCCCTTGGAGTTCCCCACCAAGAATTTCTGGGATCCCCGCCCAGGGGTCTGACAAGTTCCCAGACAGTGGGGCACCCCCCTTCACCTGTGCTGTCCTGCTGGGCACCCTCCACCCAGGGCCCTCTTCCTGCTGCTCTCAGGGCTGCTGGGACCCCCATGGGCTCCTCTTCTCTCTCTCTCTCTCTCTCCTCTCTCTCTCTCAAGGATGAAGAGGAGGAGCAGTCGCCTAAGTGTGAGTTTTGTGGAAGTGATCTGCAGGAGTTCATCTCCCACGTGGACTTTTGCTCTCAACCAAGAGAACTGGTAAGTTCTAACACAGAGAGAGCGGTGTCATTTCAAACACTGTTCCGAATGCGTGTCGCGGCTTCTCCTGCCTCTCACGCCGGCATCTTCTTCCCCGGGGATGTGACACATTAGCCAGGGGCACCACAAAGCCATCACCGTCCCCAGGTGGGGCCACTGTTGAAGGAGAGAGGATAACAAGTGCTGGCAAAGGCGTAGAACAGCTGGAACCCACACAGTGCTGAGGGGACAGACAGCAGCGCCCCACAGCCGCTAGAGAAGCTAGGCGTACGGTTACCGTGTGACCCAGTGACTCCACTCCGAGGTCCAGACCTGAGAAAAGGACAACGCGTGTCCACACCAGGACTTGCTCGCACACATTCGCAGCAGCAGGATTTTTGTTTTCTTGGTAGTACTGGGGTTTGAACTCGGGGCCTCGTACTTCCTAAGCAGGCGCTCTGCCCGCTTGAGCCATGTCTCCAGGCCTCTCCGCTTTAGTTAATTTTTGGATGGGGTCTCACATCCGTTTGACCTGCACCATGATCCTCATATTTACACTTCCTATGTGACTGGTGTGACAGGTGCTCACTACCACGCCCAGCTTTCTACTGGTTGAGATGGGGTCTAGCTGACTTTTTTTTTGCCAAGGCTGGCTTTGAACCACGATCCTCCTGATCTCCACCTCCAAGTAGCTGGGATTCCAGGCACGAACAACCATGCCTGGCTGCAGTGTGATTCATAATAGCAAAAAAAGTGGAAACAGCTGACAACTGAATAAAGAAGACATGGTGCCTACGCCATGAGATATCACCCGGCTAGGAAAACTCACAAGTCCTGAAACACGCATACCACGGATGAGCCCTGGCAACACTGTGCGGGTGAGGATGCCTCGGGTCCCCTGACGTGAAGTTAAAGAGCAGGCAAATCTGGACAGACAGAGGGAGAGACAGAAGGGAGACGAGCGGTTCCCAGCAGCGGAGGAGGGATGCGCTGTTAGTGGGAGCAGTTTCGTGTTCTAAGCTTGTGGTGCCAGCTGCACAACCTTCAGTATATTCAATTGAATCCGTGCCTTTCAAACGGGTGGATTTTATTTATGTGAATTTCAAAAAAAGTCATAATAGGCCAGGCACCAATGGCTCACGCCTGTAATCCCAGCTACTCAGGAGGCAGAGATCAGGAGGATCGCGGTTCAAAGCCAGCCTGGGGAAATAATTCTGGAGACCCTGTCTCAAAAATACCCACCACAAAAAGAAGGGTGGGGCCGATGGAGTGGCTCAAGTGATACAGCACCTGCCTAGAAAGCATGAGGCCCTGAGTTCAAAACCCAGTGCCACCAAGAAAATAAAAGGTGTAATAGATTGTTATCCAAACCCCATTTGTCTGGTTTTTGTCCCCTATAACTGTCTTCATCAAGGACGAATGAGATGAAAATGACCTCTTTTCCAGGTTTCCTGTTGTCTTCATTTTCAAAGTCTGGTCGACTACATCTGTGAGGAAAATGAAAAGCAGAAAGCCCTAAATCTGAATTAATCAGTATTAAGCCTCACGCAGCCCATGGCAATGAAGTGGATCGACTGAAGGCCAAAGAGAAAGCCATACAGAGGTAGCGAGCCAGGTGCCAAGTCCACAGGCCAGCTTGCACAGACGGCCTGGGTTCAAATCCCAGTGCCACAAACAAAGTCTCCCGTGGTGGAGCGTTTGCCTCACGTGGGCCAGGCCCTGGGTTCCACCCAGCACTAAAAAGAAAGGAAGGAAGTGTGTGTGTGGGGGAGAGAGAGAGAGAGAGAGAGAGAGAGAGAGAGAGAGAGAGAAGGGAGGAGGGGAGGGAAGGGAGGGAGGGAAGGAAGGAAGGAGGGCAGGGAGGGAGGGGGGAGAGAGGAGGGAAGGGAGGGAGAGAGAGAAAGAAACAGAGGGAGGAAGGAAGGGAGGAAGGGAGGAAGCTCCCAGAATCTCAGCTGCCAGTCCTGTGATGAGATTTGCCCAATGACCTGGGGAGGGACTGCACACAAGCTCTGCTGAAATGAGCCGGATAAAAGCAGCACAGGGTGACATTTAAGCGGGTGAAATCCGTGGTCTACCGTTTCAAATCCCACCCACGCTTCAGATGACGCTCAATGTGTTTGGCTTTGTAGGAAACAGGAGCGACAGCTGGCCAGACATTTCACAGTAATAACAAATGAACAGAGCAACTCACCTGAAGAAGGTGAGTGGGTCAGCGCTGAGGTCACAGACCAGCCGGCAGCTGCTGGGGCCCTGAGTTCAAACCCCAGAGCTGCCAGAAGGCTTTAATGTATTTAAGAATAATACTGAAAAATTTCACTTCTAAGTACCATGAAGCCTGCATCAGTAAAAATGGCTCAGAAAACCTGAGGTTTCAGCCATCTTACTTTGGGAGTTGGGGGTCTTCAGCTCATTGTTAATGTTTCTTAAAATAAATTCACAATGTGCATCAAGCACTTTATGGATGGCTGCAAAGAGCTTTTGCACTGGCGGCTCACACCTGTAATCCTGGTTACTCAGGAAGCAGAGGTCAGGAGGATCACAGTTTGAGGCCAGCCTGTGCAAAAAGTGAGACCCTATCTCGAAAAAACCCATCTTGCACACACACAATACAAAAGGGCTGGTGGAGTGGCTCAAGTGGTAGAGCACCCACCTAGCAAGTGCAAGACCCTGAGTTCCAAACCCTGTACCCCTGAGCAAAAAAGATATCCAGATACATGTTTTTGTTTGTTTATATTTTTATGACTAAATCTCTAAGATTATGTAAAGTTTCTGGTAGTCAATTGTCTCTTACCAAAATGAAAAACCAGGAAATTCCTCTTAATGAAAGTTGTCATTTTTCTGTTTTTTAGCATCTCTTGCTTTTAACCAAGAGAAACCTCTCCCTAATTTAATGAAGGACCTCATTTTTCTTCCTTTAAAAAATTGTCTGATAAAATAATTAGCAATGGGTTTGAACTTTTATTTCAGAAAATTTAAAACAGAAACGTACTTTCTTTCTTGTGATTCTTTTCCCACCAGAGTCAAAGCACTTAAAAACGATTTCTTATCAACTCTCTGTGGATGTGCCAGAAAAAGAGGAGACTGAAGACAGACTTGACTTTTACGTAAAAAACTGTAACATGTCCATTGTTGGCTGTGATTCTAGGAAAGCCTGTGGGAAGGTAATTAAGTGGTAATTTTTTTTTTTTTGCCCATTTAAAAAATCAGTTTCACTTAAATGACAAAAGCTCTCATGAAACTCGCCCATGTGACACAAACATTGGTACAGGGAGGGGTGTGGTGGCACCTACCTGTAATCCCAGCACTAGGGAGGCAGAGGCAGGAAGAGGCAGAGGTCTCCAGTTTGAAGGTAGCAGGCTATGTAGTGAGACCCTATCTCAAAAACACCAAGAAACCAAAAAAGAGAGGACAAAGAACTTGGCACTTCAACTTTTGCTAGTCCTTATGTCTCGCACAGGTTTCGATGAAAGCATTTTTACCTTCAGATGTGATCGGTGCACGTGAAAGAATGTTGGGAATCCTTTGGACAATTAAAAAGAAGGGGAGAAAATCACCCGAAAGCCATGACGGCTCCTCAAAACGTCCTTAGCACTTAGTGTTGCCTAGAGTGGCGGAAGCAATGCCACCTGCGGCTATTTTCACTTAAAATAATTAAAATTTGATAGAATAGCAAGGTGAATCCTCAGCAACAGAGGCCACACCTCAAGTCCCTGTGGCTGTGTGACCAGAGGCCACCGCCGGCACAGACTGGACTCTGTGGTCAGCAGAGGTCCCATCTTGGGGGCTTTGTCACTAGGCCTCCAGTGCCTCACGGAATATTTATCTCTTTGTAAGCTTAGTTGTAAAAGTACAGTCCATCATATTATTTCGTTTACATTAACATCATGATGGCTGTGATTTGTTTTGGGTTTTTTTTTTTTGCGTACTGGAATTTGAACTCAGGGCCTTCACCTTGAGCCACTTCACCAGCCCTTTTTTGTGATGGGTTTTTTTTTTCCAAGATAGTCTTGTGAACCGCTTGCCTGGAGCTGGCTTTGAACCGCGATCCTCCTGATCTCTGCCTCCTGAGTAGCTGGGATTACAGGCACCCCGCTATGGCTGATTTTTAACCACTTCCCTGTTATTGGACAGGGGTTGTTCAGTTTTTTTTCTTTTTTGCTGTACTATCTAGCATTGCTTTGAATGGCTTTGTGTATAAATGCATTTCTGCACATGTCTAGCTCCTCAGAATTGACTCTGGGAAAGTAAGTTACTTAGGCCCGGGTCGTTTGTCTTGGGTGATACAGAATTTAAGGGTGGACCACAGACCAGGTGCCTGACAAGGTGAACACCCATTCAACCTTGACCTTACTCTTCCACATCACTGCGAAGTTCAGCTGCCAGCACACAGTGAAAAATGACAAGGACACAAGGAAACGTAACCCAAGGCAATCCCAGAGGAGTCATCTCGTCAAAAAAGGCCCATAAGACTGGAAAACAAAGCAATCCAGCTGTGCTAGACAACAGACCAGCGTTCCTGAAAGGAAGAGAAAACTGTGAAGAAACATGGCAGGTTTGGAAAATGTGGACAAATGAACCTGAAAAAAAACACACAATCAAAATTTAGAACCTAAAAAATGAGAGTTAAGAAGCAAATTCAGGGCTGTCAGAGTGGCAAAAATGGTAGTAGAGTGCCTGCCTAGCAGGAGTGAGGCCCTGAGTTCAAACCCTAGTGCCTCAAAAAAAAAAAAAAAAAAACCCAAGAAGCAAGTTCAGGAGCCAGGCGCAGATGGCTCACACCTGTAATCCCAGCTCCTCGGGAGGCAGAGATCAGAAGGATCACAGTTCGAAACCAGCCTGGGGAAACAGTTCAAGAGACCCTATATCAAAAAAACCCATCACAAAAAAGGGCTGGTGGCGTAGCTCAAGATGTAGCCCTGAGTTCAAATCCCAGTACTGCAAAAAAAAAAAGTTGATTTTAAAATGTATGCAGGACTGTAAAGAACCTAGAATCACCAAGACAGTCTTGGGAGAGGGGAAGGCACTCGGCCAGAAATTCAGATCTGTTACAAAGGCAGTGGTCACAGCAGCATGGCTGGCAGAGGTAAAGAAAGAAACTCGTGCATCCAGGACATCTGACTGTGACAGCAGAGGCACCACAGGACAGTGGGGACAGGGTGTCTGTTTCAGATGGAAGAGTTGAGAGGATTCAACATCTAAATATGAAACAGAAGCTACGGGGATTTTTAAATATTGGAGAATCTATAAAGGATTTGAGAAAAACTGTGAAAGGCAAGCCCAGAAGGGAGAACTATTTGAAGTGCCTGTGACAGTCAAAAGCTTTGTATCCTCGGTGCACGAAGGAGTTTATAAATCAGCATGAAAAAAGTCAGTCCTTTAGGAAAATGAGCCAGAAAAACCCAAACAACCGAGCTTGAACAAGCACTTCTGCAAGCAGAAAATTCAGCTGACCAGTCAGCAGCAGGGGCCCGGCCAACCCACTAACCTGACAAGTGAAAACTTGGCCACCTCGGGAGACCTGAACTCACCAGTCATACTGGCAAAATGCCAAACCTACAATGGCGAACTTTGGAAACAACACAGAGCAACAGTCGCTGTTACTGCCTCTAACGGACGTGCAGACTGACACAGTCGGACAATCGTCCAGCAAAGCGTAAGACTGGCATACCTTGGGATCCTGCAATTTCACCTCTGGTTCAAGGTCCTAGAGGACCTGGCCAGTGACAGACGCGCTTAACAACGTCCCTGCCCCTGCAGGGAACAACGTCTAACCAGAGTGAGGGAGGGAGGAACAAGTCCACACGGGGACCGGGGACGGGGACACCGTGCGGAAAGGCAGGTTACCGCACCAGCAACGTTGACACTAAAAATACAAACGTTCAACCCCAGTATTGAAAAACAAAGCCGTGCAGGGCACAGCAGTGTCCTCCCTGCCAGCCTCGCAAACCACGGCCCGGCCGCACCTGGGAGAGGAGCTGAGCCCAGTGGGGACTGCCAGGGACCCTGGGGACAAGAGCTACAGCTGGCACTGGTGACCCTTGTCTGAGACAGGGGGGTTTCTGCCTTCCCTGGGTCAAACCACCTGCTCAAATGGGTAGGGACAGGCATGGGGCAGCTGGCACCATCTGGGAGACCAGTGAAGTTCCCCATGCCTGCTGCCACCCCTGCATGGACACCTGGGGTAACAACTGCCTGGACATCCTCAAGGACAAGTGACCCACCCTGTCTGGCACCAAGAACCATGCTCTTGCCATCCAGAGCCCATCAGGAGACCCCAACATCCCAGCTCTGGAAAACCCACAGCTGCAAGGAAGCCCTACAAGACCCAATCAAGCAGGGCCCCAGCCAGGAGCCCGACCCAGCCGCCAGCCTCCCCTGGGGCCCTCTTTCACGTGTCCCTATTGGTCTGGCCTTTCCTTCATTTCCGTGTGGACTCTGCTTGCATCTTGAGCTGTGGTATGGGTTCTCTTGTGTTTCTGGGTTTTTTTTTTTTTTAAATTAAATCTCAGGTTGAACCCTGGTTGTTTTTGTTAAAAAAAAAAAAAAAAAGAAAAAGCCAACAACCGAAAAAACAAAATATGATTCTGTTTCTGTCAAATTCTACGCTTTTTAGAAATGATGAAAGTACAAAGAAGAGCAAAGGAGTCACTATGAAGTCAGACTGGCGTTTCCTCTTGGAAGGAAGCGGTGGACAGCAGACAGGAAGAGGGTGAACAGTGGGGCAGCAGGCAGCAGGACAGGGGAGTTCAGACAGTAGGATGGAGGCTCTGGGACTGTCATTTTGTGCCATTTCTGCATCTGGATGGTGACGACAGGACACTTGAAGGAAATAGCCTGATTTAACCCTCGCTTGAGAGTGTTCTGTACTTTACTTTTTAAAAAGTGAGAACCTGAACCTTGTTTCAGGGAGGGAGGGAGGGGGAAAGGGAAGGGAAGGGAAGAAGCGGGCAGTGGGGGGGCGGGTGGCTGGTGGTTCATGCCTATAATTCTAGCTACTCAGGAAGCAGAGATCAAGAGGATGGAGATTTAAAGCCAGCCAGGAAAATAATTTGACATCTTTTTCTTTTTTTTTTGCAGTAGTGGGGTTTGAACTCAGGGCTCATGCTTGCGAGGCAGGCACTCTACCACTTGAGCCACTCTGCCAGCCCTAGGAAAATAATTTGAGAGACCCCATCTTGAAAATACCCAGCACAAAACCGGGCTGGCAGAGTGGCTCAAGCGGTAGAGCGCCTGCTTTGCAAGTGTGAAGCCCCTGCCCCCACACACAAAAAGCATTCAATGATGGGGCATTGAGTAATTTAAAAAGAAAGACATGTGTCATTGCCCAACTGTCCAGCAAGCAACCAATGTCCGTGTTGTCACACTTCATGCTGTCTGGACGACCAGTGTCCATGCTGTCACCCTTCGTCTGTCTGGGACAGCCAGCAGCTAAGTGTCCTGCTCTGTTCTTGGACCACAGGTTGTGAGTGACGAGCTGTTGGAGAAGCACTACAAGCACGGGAGCAAGTTCCTGACCTCGCTTCCAGACGGGACAACCCAGATATTGTATCCTTTCCTTCCTCAAAGAGAGTGATAAAGACAAACTCCCATCGTGATGCACAATCCTCCCACGACGCTAGACTTTATTTCCCGTATTTTGTTGAGGTTTTCTTTGACATCTTGGAAGTATATTTTGATCCACATTAAAAAAAAAATCACAAAATCCTTTCATACTAAAGTAACTCCCATTTTCAGAAAGCTTTATAACTCCAAAGAGCTCACTCATAAATGGGATTTATTCCCAGTATGGTGAAGGGTCTTTAGAACAACCCCATGACCTTATCTGATCTCAGTTACCCGTCTGGAAACCTGGCCATCATCCGAGTGCCCAACAAGACCAGTGGTTTCACCTCCATAGTCCAAGAAGACGCATCCACCGACCCCGCCATCCTGGCCGTGCTCAACTCCTCGGGCAGAAGCTCCTGCTACCATCCCAATGGCAACGTCTGGTAGGCTCCAAGTTCCTTCTGCAGCCATCTCGTTTTGTTCAACTTCATTTTGCTCCTTAAAGAATGGTTTGGGAAGATTTATTCAAGTCAGTGGTCTTTAGGCAGTCATGCCCAACTCAGACACTCTTGTGGGTTCTGCCAGTTCATATGCTTCCCAGTGGAAAAATCTTAGCGAGAAAATATGAACGATGGCGGTGTGGCTCAAGCAGCAGAGCAGCTGCTGTGCAAGTGGGAAGCCCTGAGTTCAAACCCCAGTCCCACAAAATGAAAAGAAAAGACGAACGATACAATTGCAGTACAGAAAAATCTCTTACTAAACGGTGTGTTCGCTCCCGGGCTTTGGGACACGAACCCAGGCAGTCTCTAGAGCCTGTGTCCCATGCGTTCCCTAGACACTGCCCCGTCTAGGGAAACACATGAAGTAACCGTTGGTGACAGTGACTGCTGTGTTGCCACTGTGTGCGATGCACTCCTGACTAGCAAGCTCCCTGTGGCCACAGCCAACAGTGCACACAAACAAAATCTCTGAAGAAAAACAGACCCTGATCCCATTTTGGTCCACTCTGTGACTCCATATTATCTCATTTAGTATGACAACGTGGACTTTGGGTTCCAACCATCAAATACAATTTAACCTTTTTCTTTTTGGTGGTACTGGGGTTTGAACACAGGGCCTCACACTTGCTAGACAGCTGCTGTACCCCTTGAGCCATAGCCACAGCCCTAAAGGTAGGGTCTTGCATTTTTGCCCAAGGCCAGCCTCAAACTGCCATCTTGCTACCTATGCCTCCCACGTAGCTGGGTTAACAGCGTGACTGTTCGTGATTTTTAACTTCCCTGCAGGGTATACATCAACTTCCTAGGAGGTCAGTATTCGGACGAAGCTGGCAACAGAGTAAGGGCCTGGAACTGGTCAGGCTCCATCGCCTCGTCTTCGTCCTTCGTTTCATTTAAACCTGTCTTTCTGGCTTTGAACCGTTACGTCGGAGTCCGCATCTTAGAGCAAGACAAGATCGCCATCACCTTCCTGGCCATGGGGCAGCAGGCACAGATCAGTGTTGGAACCAAAGTGAAGGTAGGCACATTGAAAAAACAGCTCACAGCGCGAACGACGCTCTGCCAGTGTTAGGGCCGACAGGTTGAACTCGTGCAAAACCTGCTGTCCACTAAGAGTCTGGGGATTCCACGGAAACACAGAGTGTGGTTTCATACAGAAAGGAGCCTGCCTTATTCACTGCCCCTCTCCTCAAACTGCATTTGGTTCAGACTTGGATCCAGTACTGCTTGTTGAGTGCTGAGGAGTGCAGCCTTGGAGTGTTTTGTTTTAGGACTCGTGTTGTGGTTATTTTGTTCTTGTTTTTCCCTCCCTGCTACGGTGGAAGCCCGGGGCTGGGCAGGAAACTTGAGTTCCAGTGGTGTCCGAGAGCAAGCATTAGCCCTGTTTCCTTGGAAACAGCTCCCAGACCCTCGTCCAGTCAGCATGGACCACGTTCCTCCTGGGGTCCCGCAGACTTGCCTCTGCCCCTGCGTTTGCTGAGCCAGGCTGTCCTGTTGGGCCCCCCAGGCTGCCTTTCCCACAGGAAGGCGCCCCTGAAGCATGGAACCCCTCTTGCTGATTCCTCTACCCTAGAGCCTTGCCTGGGCTCAGCCCAGGGTGCGCTGACCGTGACGGCAGTAACGCACAACAGTCGAGAACGTGACTTCAAGTCACGGAGTCTATGGTGTCAAACCCCAGCTCTGCTGCTTGGCTGAGTGAAGTTGAACTTCAGCCTGTCCTCCACGAAACAGGACGATGATTCCTAGCTCTCAGCTGCTGTGAAGCTCCAGCGAGAATGCAAAGCGCTAAGCGTGGTCGTTGGCACCCAGAGAGTACTCAGTAAACGAGAGCTCAGTGCACATGGAGCGATCTTTACAGCTCCGTAAACATGTTACATGTGCTTCTGTGGACACATGTAACATACACAGCGGGTGACTTTGGAAGAGTCCCTGAAACTCTGAGGACGCTTGTTTAGTCCACTTTTAGAGGACGAGGTGATTCAAAACTTCTAGTGTCCCCAGCTCCTAATAGTGTCTGGTTTTTGTGGAATTAAGAGCTCGAGATTCAGCACAGGCAGAATATCAGTCGAATGAGACTTCAGTTCAACCAACAAAACACCAGGGTCTGTGACGTGTGAGCCCTTCTCAGCTACCATAGTCAGTCCAGATTCTGGGCTCCAGACCAGCTTCTTTCCTGGTGAGGAATTCACAGCCTCCTTCTGGTGCGTTAGGCTCACGGTAAATAGATTCTTACCTAAAACATAAAAATGTAGCCGGGCCCTGGTGCTCACAACTGTAATCCCAGCTACTCAGAGGCAGAGATCAGGAGAATCGCAGTTTGATGCCAGACCAGGAGAATAGTTCGGGAAACCCTATCTCGAAAAAACCCATCACAAAAAAGGGCTGGTTGGAGTGGCTCAAGCAATAAAGCACCTGCCTGAGTTAAAAAAAAAAAACCAAACATAAAAATGTATCTCTCCCTCTCCCACTTCAGGATCAAATTTTAATAAGAAAAAGCCATTTTGATGCAAAAGGAATCAAATCCCAGTCCCATTAAAAAAAAAAAAGACCCAATCGATGCAAAAGGACTAATACAATTTTTTTTTTTTTTGCTTTTTGCCTTTTTTCCTTTGGATTTTTTTTCAAATTGCAAAAGGCACAAGTAAACACATGCTCTTATTTGAACATTCAAATAATATCAAATTACAGAAAATTTAAAAATAAGATTTTTAAACGTATAACTTCTTTTTCTTTATTTTTTTTTTTCTGTTCTGGAGGTAGTGGGGTTTGAACTCAGGGCCCCAAGGTTGCTAGGCAGGCACTTTCCACTTGAGCCACTCCGCCAGCATGAAGGGGAGGGTTTCTATTTGGTTTTGATCCCCACTTAACAAACACTGAAGGCGTCCCCCATGCTTTTATCCTCCAGCACGTGAAGTCCCTTTTATGGTGACGTAGCCGTGTCATGTTTCATGTGCTCATCTGTGAGTTCACGTTTATCTCTACTCCCCGGGTGACCCCACTGAGCCTCACATAACATCTACCTGCCGGGAACCTTTTGTTTATACCTCCACGTGGGTCCCCCACAACTCAGATCCCTACTTTGCAAATCTCTAATCCCAATTTAACACCCCCACGTGACGTGCAAAAGAGTGTCAACAACGTAACACAGCCACGCTAGATGTCCAGGCTTGCTGCTCCCTGGCCCGCCCCGTCCTCCCCACAGGCTTTGTTTTAGGCAATAAAATGCTTAATATTGCCGGACACACAGTGGCTCACTCCTGTAATCCCAGCTACTCAGGAGGCAGAGATCAGGAGGATCGCGGTTCGAAGCCAGCCAGGGCAAATAGTTGATGAGACCCTATCTCGAAAAACCTTTCACAAAAGTACAGCTGGTGGAGTGGCTCAAGGTGTAGGCCCTGAGTTCAAGCCCCAGCACCACACACACAAAAGTTAATATTATCACTATATATTATCACTAATTTTCCCTATAATGACAGGTTGAATTTTCTGCCTGCTTTCCTTCTAATTTTCTATTTGTTAGCCTTTGCTTGATAGCTATTTGTATCCTTTGGTCGTCCACCTTTTCATGTAGTTTTGGGTGACACACGTCTCTTGTGAACAGCATGTAGCTGGATTTTGTTGCTTTCCTTCACCTACCAGACTCAGTCTTTTAATGCACTAACATTTTAGAGGTTGGTCTAAATCGTCAGCATATCACTTTCTTCTCCATGAATAGGATTTTCTTCCGCCTCCTCTGGCTGATTCTCTTCCTTGACAGAAATGTGGCCCGTGGCCTCTGCCTCTGCCTGGGAATTTCTCCTCGGTCTGAGGTTCTCTGCTAGGCAAAGCTGGTGCCGCCTCTCCAGCCTCAGACTCCTGTGATTCTTTGCATTTGGAACCCTGTTTCCCTGGAGCTCTGCTGGAGCTTGCTCCTGGCAGCTGCAGAGCTGCGGTGTGAGCTGCGGACATAGCCCCGGTCCACCTGGGGGCACCGGTGCCCAGCACAGAGGGCATCGCCGGGGGGGCTGCCTCCAAGTGACCATCCCAGCGGTCACTCCTGCTCCTCACTTCTGTTGACTGTGCCCAGGGCGTGCAGGTTCGGGGTCATCAGTTCATGCAGTCGTTTCTCTCTCTCTAGGTGTAGTGTCATTTGCTTGTTGGAGTTCCAGGAATTCCTTAAAACCATGCCGCTGCTGAGCTTTTTGTTATTAGAACTGTCATTATTTAACCTCTAGAAATGTATCCCACCACTTTCTGGGGCTTGTGGTGACAACCCCAGTGCAGTCTTCACTTGAGTATGTCTTGCCCTTCCCTCCCTCCCTTTCCTTCTGTGGGGGAGGGAATGCAGACCCTATGAGTTCTCACCTCTGGGGGCAGCTAAGTGACCCTCTGCTTGCAGAAGGTAAGGTGGTCTTCAGAGGCCATCAGCCCTCCCCACTGAGGCTAAACGCCACTCCTGAGCTGGTCCTGAGGCCGCAGACTGTGGACACCCCTCAGGGGAGCCCGGCTGTCCTGACAGGTCCTTCTCTAGTCTCAAGGAGACATCAGCCTTGAGCCATCAAAGCCTGAGGAAGTGGGGAGGGCAGAGGCCGAGGAGGGCAAATAGAGAGGATTCAGAATGGCCTCCTGGAGGAAGGGACGTGGTAGGGAGTGTTGGGTCCCCCTGCCCCCAGCTCTGTCTTCTCTGAGGAAGATGCCCCCTGGGTTCCTCCCCCAAGGCACTCAGCCATCAGACCTGCTGGCCATCGTCCCCCAGGGCATCTCACTGCAGTAGACACCGTCCATTGCCTGGATAAACTGTCCCCAGGTGAAAGGATCCAGGTTCCACACGAGTCTTGTGTCTCCGTGGCACTTCAGTGCTTTCCCCCTTCAGATAGAATGAGACCACCGTCCCAGGCCCCGTGTGCGCCAGGACCCGCACCCAGCCTCCCGGCCAGCCCCACTCCGGCTCTGAGTGTCCCTTGTCTTTGTCGTTGCCAGCTCACCCACTCGGAGGACATCCCCGCGCTGCAGCACCTGAGTGAAGAGGACCTTCTGCTGCTGGCCAGCCTCATAAAGATCCGCTGCCTGTTCTCCAAGCTGGAGGGGTGCGTGAGCTTCCCCTCGGGCCAGGCTTGGGAGAAATTAAAGCAGCCGTCCTACCTTTCTTCACTTTCCCTGAAGCTGTTTGCCCTCTGTCGCAATTCGGGAGCAAATCAAGACATAATGGCAACAGTTAGAGGCTTAATAAATGGAGAGATTTAAATTCGAGCCAGGCCTCCCGTTTGTTTTAAAGCTCTTTTGGTTTGTTTCCTTTTTAGGGCTTCTGGGATCTGAACGCAGGACTTCATGCTTGCTAAGTCGGCTCTCTACCACTTGAGCCCCTCCACCAGCTTCCCTTTGTTTTGTTAAAAGTTTTCTGTTGTTTTTGGCTTGGGGTTTGGAAGGATTCAAACACAGTACCAAATGACAGGAAATGGCAGGAAGTACATGATTTTATACATTTAGAACTCACCGTTCACATTTAAATTAACTCACTTCCCCAACACCAGAAAGCCAGCAATCAGCAAGAATCCGGGTGTGGGTGGGATTCCGGGAAAGGGGGAAGGGGGGGGAGTCCATGCTCTCTGCCCCTGGAGGGACAGGAACCAAAGCCTTCAGGAAACATGGCTCTGAAGCCCCCTCAGGAAGCCACAGAGTCATCAGGACAATCTGGAGTGAGTGTGGCCGTCCACCACACCACTGAGAGACTGGTCAACGTCTGGAACTTGTCACAGCATCACAGGACAACGCAGGAATGCAAGTCACCACCTCTGCCCCAAGGTCCACCTCCTCCTGCCCAGGGGGGACAAGGGGTCTCCTCCTCCCCACCGACCAACATCACACAGGTTCCTGTTGCTAGGAAACCCCGGGAACCCGCCGGCAGAATGACAGAAAATTATACACTTCCCGTTGTGGTGTGGGGAGGAGGAGGTGCTGGATCCCTGCTCGGCAGGGAGATTCAGTAGAGCAGCAGCGCCCAGAGGAGCAGGTGGCAGACCCTAAAGACACAGGGACATCTGAATCAACCAACCTGGACTTCCTGCCTCTTAGCTCCCTGTTCTCCAGGCAGGAGAGAGGTGCGATTTCAGGGGACACCCCTAAATTCCACAGCTGCCACTAGTGTGTATCAAGAGGGTTCAGCCTACCCACCACTCACAACTTAGTACTAAATGAAATCATCCCTAATGGAGCTGAGAGGAAGCATGGAGTAGTCCAGGACCCAGGTGCCAAGGAAGGGGCCCGGTTTTTGCTAGGAAGCTGTTGACCACCTGTTTCTGTCTTCTTCCCTTTAGCCAGCTTACTCTCTAGGAACTTTGTTGGTGCAGAGGACTGTAGTATTTTATTTTTCACTTCCAGTCTTGCTAATCATGGCTGCTATCTTTGTGAAAACGAGGCTTAGAGACTCACGTCTTAATCAGTGCTAACTGGTTCTAGTTTTGCCCTTAGCTGCTTCCTTTCTGTTGTTGAGTGAACCTTTAGTTTCTATCCAGTGAAAAAGAAATATTAAATTAATTGAACTTGGAAGTAAGTATGGAAAGAACTCAAAAAATTCAAAATAATTCCCACGTGACCTGGCCATTCCACTTCCGGGTAGAGCACATACCTGAAAGAATTGAAGTCAGCTAACTGTAGAGATACTGTGTACGCCATGTTTATCGCAGCACTGCTTTGGAGCCAGCCTAGGTGCCCATCCACGAATGAGCGGATAAAGGGACTGTGGTAGAGACACACCGTGACCTTTACTCGGCCTTGAAGAATGAAGTTACGCCACTGGTTGGGAAATGGGTGAATCTGGAGAGGCGCTAAGTGAAATAAGCCAGGCCCACTAAGGCAAGTACACGTGTTTTCTCTCATTTGTGGACGCTAAGGGGCAACAATAACAAAACAACTAAGGTCATGAAAGTGAAAGGGGGATACTGGGGAGGTGGGAGGAGGGAGACAAGAAAGAGTAATAAGAGAGGGTGAAACTGGGGGCCAGTGGCTCACACCTGCAATCCCAGCTACTTGGGAGGCTGAGGATGAGAGGATTGTGGTTCAAGGGCAGCCCAGGCAAATAGTTCTAGAGAACCCATCTCCAAAATAACCAGAGCAAAATGGGCTGAAGGTGTGGCTCAAGTGGTAAAAAGCCCTGAGTTCAAATCCCCGTCCCACCCAAAGAACAGAGGAGACAAATATGACCAAAGTACATTATATGTCTGGATGGATGGATGGATGGATGGATGGGTGGGTGATGGAAAAGTCATGGTGAAACCCCAACGATTTAATATACACCAATTAAAAAAAATAAGAAATACCTTGGTTTGAGCCTTAATATGGTTTGTCCAGTCTGAAACCAGTGTTGGAGATAAGTCCCATTGTGAGGTATTAAGAGTGGAAACTTAAGTTGACTATGGTATTTCAAGGCAGGGGCCGTGGGAGGAATTATGACAGATAAGGTCATCAGGGTGAAGGACCTGGTGACTTTCTAAGGAGAGACCACACACTCACAGAAGTGTATACTCCCTGTCTCTCCCTGTCCAATGTCCTCGGCTGCCTTCCGGGCTCTGACAGCAAAAAAATTCATGAACTGTGGACCAGAACTTTGAGCCAAAATAAACCTCTGTCTTTGTAACTTAAGCAGTCAGTGAGTGATACAGTATTATTCACAACACAAACTGGACTCGTACAGAGCGGATGGCAAATTAAGAGCAGGTGATAAGACATGCCACTAGCCAGGTAAGAGAACCACCAAAATGTCCATGCAGTAGGCACAGCGTGGAGAAGTCAGGGAGAAGGTGTCATCTATTCACACCACTGCTTACACATTTGCTCTGTAGGTTGGGCTCTGCGAACTGAAAATGACAGTGTAACATCCATCCAGACTCTTCAGAGATGACACCTCATTTTCAAGATGCTTTAAACTATTAAATAAAGGGACAACCCATCAGAAAATAATCCACCTCTGGCTCTTTTCCTGTGATAACATCAGCACCTGAAATTCTCAATGACCAAATGAAGGCAAGACATTTCATGGCCACGGAGCCAATTCTGGAAACACCGCTGCTCTAGTCAGTGCCTGAGAGTCGACTAAAGCACCCTCTCTCAGAACCTCCGTCTGTGCATAATCTAAACCTGGTTTTCTCTGGGGTTGAGTGGCCACTGACAACAAAGTCCTATGAGACATGGCTGGCACACTCTCCGTATAAAGTCAATGTGTTAATAAACCGAGCTTGCACTCCAGGACTAGCGCTCTCTCCATCCTTGTGTCATCTGTCTAATGAACACTTATCCAATGCCCATGCTTGAGCCAAGAACTAGTGATGCAAAGATAGAAATCACACTTCCTTGTCCTCAGGGAAAAAGGACTCAAAAAGATCTTGAGAACACACTGAGGTAAGTGCAGTAGAAGAAGGAAGTAGGAAGAACCAAAAAGAGAACATTTGTCCCTGCCCAGCGGCTGGATGTCACGTGGGGTGAAGGGGTGGACGGTGCACATAAGGCAAATAAATCAAAGGAGCGATTTCAGAATAATCACAGAATTTCCCCACTGAAAATGATAACTAAACCTTGAGTGTGTTGACTGGATGCCAGAGTCAGCGGTGACCCAAATGATGACCACAAAGTCATCTGTGCCCAGGTGCTGAGTAACTGGACTCACTCTCAACCCTTGAGCTGCTGCCACACCATCAGCCAGCAAGGAAGGACCAGAGATGACTCAGGCCAACCCCTCCTGACCATGTACTTAAGAGGGCCACAGTGACCTCCAAGAACATGAGGGAAAAGGAATGGAGTCACGGGGAGCCTAGGCATCGGGGGTGCAGGGGGAAGGCCTGACTTTGATCCAAAGACAAAGGTTCCACTGTGGACAGAACCAGTGCGTGAGATCCAGGGACATCTCAGAAGGAGAGCTTCTGTTTAGGACACTCTGAGGGTCCCAGTGCATTACACTGGTCTGTAGCCAGTGGTCAGCAAACTCAGGGATAGCGAGTGTCAGAGTGACAGGAAAGTGTCACAGGATTGCCTGGTATTGAACCATGGTGTATACATTTGTTGACTGAATACAGGTTTAGCATGTGTGCCAAGCAGGATATATGGCCCTTGTGAGTGAGAGCAACAGCAAAGCAAGTAACTTCAGCTGTGACAAATGCAATGGAAAACCAGGGTTCTGTGGACAGCTTGCAGAGAGTAGGAAGGTGGGCAGAGTCCATTTTGTACGATGAGGTTAGAGAGAATTTTGAAAAGGACAGTTGTGCAGGACGCTGGGAAAACGGGTCCCTGGCAGAGAGAACATGAAGTCCTGGGGTGGGGACCAGGTCCTCGCACATGTCAGTGACAGGATGACGGTCCCTGGGAGTGATGTGGTTCTTGTGGGCTGACGAGGAGGAGGAAGCCAGGTTAAACAGAGCTGTAATGCCTGGCAAGGAGGCACAGTATATTATGCGCGCACACGTCCTTTAAAAAAAAATAATAAGGGGTCAATCTTAGTGCTGGTGACCAGCGCTTTTTCCTGTGCTAAGTAATGATTTTGAGCCCAGAGCAAGGACGGAAGGCCCTGGGGACGCCCAAAGGCTTTGGAGAAAATGGAAGGTGGCAGGACAGCTTTGCAGAGTGGCTGAGAGTTTCTGAATAGGGAAGGCCTGGGGAAGGGCACGTTCACACAGCAGGCAGGACAAGCACTGCTCCTAACAGCAGAACCACAAAAGTGTCAGGCGGGGTGCAACTCAAGTCGTAGAGCACGTGGCTGAGGTCCTGAGTTCAAACCCCGGAACCACCAAAAGAAAAATTCTAAAAGTTTAAAGTCCATCAATAGAAGAAGAGGTAAATCGTGGGATAGCCATCTACACAGTGGAATTCCATTCTGCAGCGAAAATGAATGAACTACAACTTCCTGGATCAATACAAATAACTCTGAAAACATTTTCATTTTGAATGAATACATTCAACATTATTCAACTTATGTAATGTTTTCAAACCTGAAAGTGATCCCGTGCACATGGAGGTGGACGGCCTGCAGAGCGTTCACACAGATGTGTGGGGAACTGTCTGCATCCACTGAGCTGGGCGATGAGGGGGCAGGAGTGTAAAATTTGAGTTTTGAAATTTCTCTCGATTGTATTTGTTATTATTTTGGCCACGCTTGGTCATGGCCATGGGTTTGCTGTTTCTTAAGCAAGGAAGCTTCTTCAGCACAGACCTCCACTAAGTCTTCTTTACATGTCTTAAATAGCTGAACTTGCTCGCTT